TAGATCAAGAGGCAGCGTCCATAGCTGCCATAGTTAGTAGTAGTTGGCGGCCATAGCTGCCATAGGTAGAGTTAGTAGCAGTGTGTATGTGCGTGTGTGTGAGCGTGTGGGATACCCACGGTGATCTAGATTTGGGTGTGTGTGAACGGTGGAGTTGAACACAGTGACGAACAAAGAGTTTGGATCCGAGCTGTGTTCTTGGTTTCCATATCTCTGAGCTTTGAGTAGGCGGTTGTCGCCAGTTTGGTGTGCCATCCTTTTACATGCATGCGAAGTTAAAAAAAACCCTTGTTGAGTCAGCGGTACTCAGTCCCAGTGTCACTTAGTCCAGTCAGCAATTACCATGTGGGAATGTGTGCACCAGGGGCCCGGTTGAAAAGGGGCAGACCAGCGACGAACAGAAGTATAAATCAAGAGGCAGCGTACAACCAGTCATTGATTGCTTCGTGAGCCATGCGTAAGCACTGCCCCAGTGTCTTGTGGCATTGTTGGTATGTAGATGCCGGAGGTTGAAGGGTGTTGTAAAGAAGATACAGCGTCATAGTTAGTAGTAACGGGCGGCCATAGCTGCCATAGCTAGAGTTAGTAGTAGTGTGTATGTGTGTGTGTGTTACAGTGTGTGAACGTGTGGGATACCCACGGTGATCCAGAGTTGGGTGTGTGTGAACGGTGGAGTTGAACACAGTGACGAACAGAGAGTTGTTGGGCGCATCAGCGCCATACCCAATCTGAAGTGAGTTTGCATTCGAGCTGTGTGAAAGGTTTCCATATCTCTGAGCTTTTAGTAGGCACTCGTCGGTGTGCCATCTGTTTACATGCATGCGAAGTAAGGAAAAAAGTGAGTCTGACTGCATTGTTCTCAAGACACGGTAAGAAAAACCGCTGGTATATCTGCTAAATCTGCATTCGCGCCTCATATTATGGACTATGTTTGTTGTGCTTACGGCAGATCATACTGTGCTGTACTTATGCTATGACTATACTGTTTTGTGCTTATGGTATGGCTATACTATGTTGTACCTAAGGCGAAAGTTGTGTCCAGACGTGGCCCCTCCCCAAACCCCGCCCCCCTTCCTCCCCCCCCTTCTCCCCCCCTCATTCTTCTCTCTGATCGTCGTAACTGTTCGTGTTACTCTTCTCTCTCTCTCTCTCTCTCTCTCTCTCTCTCTCTCTCTCTCTCTCTCTCTCTCTCTCTCTCTCATTGAAAAATGTAATAACCCACACACTTACAAATTGAGAAGACCACATTTTTGTCAGAAAATTGTTGTCTTTGATTTGTGTTTTTTTAGATTTCCGAGTGTTTGTTCCGCTGTGTGTTCGTAGTTTTCGTGTTATGCTGGCAANGTATGAATGCCCATGTGCTTGTCGGAGCCTCAGTCTGTGGCCCTGTGCTCACTCTCAAGGGTATATTTAGTAAACAGTGCACCTGAGGTACCAGAATGACCCGGGTCCTCTTGCCCGACTGGGCCAAAAAAGGAAAAGGGAAATATATATATATATATATATTTATTAATTAAAAATTGTATTTTGATTTGGTAAAGAAGGCTGATTTCATCCTAAGGCAAAATTTGTTCAGTTTATTTTTCTGCTGAACATAGTTTTTTTCCAGATTTTTTGGATTTATTGTTTTTTTTTTGTTTTTTTTTTCCTGGTACCTTCCTTGGTGCTTGCACGGCCGGGCCTCCCAGGAAAATAACGTCACCCGAGCGGCCCGACTGGTAGCCTAGGTAAACACTGTCATGGAGGCCATGGAATTATCATGAACTTTGTTTACTTACCCAGTTACTGGTGGTGGCCTATCTAAATAACAAACACTTGATTGATTGATTAGCTCATTGTTTGATTAATTGATTGATTGATTGATTGATTGATTGATTGATTGAATATTCAATTGATTGGGCGTTGTAATTGCCCTTCGGTGCTTGTTAGATGACTTCATATCTTCATAATGGCTGACTGTTTGGATAATCGCATTGACATTGCTTGCAGCCCAACGCTCGTGTACCTGTGCGTGTACTTGTTCGTATTCTGTCGTCACCAGTGACTTCCGTCATACTCACTTCGTCACTGTGGACCAGAGGGTGTCACAGTTGTGTACCTCCTTGACCTCCGCTCATCGTCATCGTCGTTGTTCGACAAAGGTGGGTAAAGGTGGGTCTCACACCCTTTCTAAATGACCTCCGCCTCCACCTGTTTGTCATTGTCGTCACTATGCATGTATGTTACGAGAGAGAGAGAGAGAGAGAGAGAGAGAGAGAGAGAGAGAGAGAGAGAGAGAGAGAGAGAGAAAGAGAGAAAAAAAAAATTGGAACTTCCACAATTTTTAGACAATCTCATGTATCGCTAATCGGACATAAGCACTATTCGGTACTTTTCGTTTTTCTCAACAGTGAGAAAGGTAGTGCTGCTTCAAGAGGGCTAAGTGGACATAGATCATGTACCGCTCATTTAATGATAATGTCGTACTTGTGTTTTCGTATTCATGACAATTCCTTTTGCCTTTTTTTTCGGCATCATTTTGCTTTGTAAGCGATCTTTGAGGAGTAACACTAAGAGACAATCTCATGTGCGTTGGGAAAAACACATGATATGAGATGATCAATACGTCCACGACCCACCGTTCGTTTGCACATTGTTGTTAGAAGGACGCTTACTCATCTTCGGAAGGAGGAGGTCTTTGTGAAGGGCAGTGAGAGAGCGAGGAAAACAAAATTAGATGTTCATATCCATAGAGTGATTAGGCCAACCATTCGGTTAAGGAATGTAGTTCGACGCAGACCTCACCACCTTCACGATTAGAAGAGCCTCCTCTTCGAGAGAGAGAGAGAGAGAGAGAGAGA